TTGTTGATAGATTGACCAAGTCCGCTCACTTTCTGCCTGTTCGGTCAAACTTTACGTCAGAACAGTATGCTAAGCTGTATATTGCAGAAATGGTGAAACTTCATGGAGTACCATTGTCCATCGTATCAGATAGAGATCCGAAGTTTATATCGGGATTTTGGAGGAGCTTTCAGCAGGCTTTGGGTACAGAACTATATCTTAGCACTGCTTATCATCCTCAAACAGATGGACAGACTGAGCGAGTTAATCAGATTTTAGAAGACATGTTGCGGGCATGTGTTCTTGATTTTAAGGGCAATTGGGAGGAATATTTGCCGCTTTCAGAGTTTGCTTATAACAATAGTTATCAGAAAACTATTGGTATGGCACCATTTGAGGCTTTGTACGGTAGACCGTGTAGGTCTCCTGTCTGTTGGCTTGGAGTTGGTGAGAACAGCTTTTTGGGTCCTGAATTTATTAAGGACACGTCAGAAAAGATCGCTATTATTAGGGATCGGATGCGTACAGCTCAAAGCAGACAGAAAAGTTATGCTGACCGTCGAACTCGTGCTTTGGAGTTTAAGGTTGGTGATCAGGTTTTGCTTAAGGTTTCTCCTATGAAGGGAGTAATGCGGTTTGGGTCAAAGGGTAAGTTATCGCCTCGTTTTGTGGGTCCTTTTATGATTACAGATCGGATTGGGGCAGTAGCTTATCGTCTGGCTCTACCCGATAATCTTCATAGGGTACATAATGTTTTTCATGTATCTATGCTGCGAAAATTTCTACGGGATGAAGATCGATACCAACACATTGATGTGGGTGAGATTGAGTTGCAACCCGATGCAACCTATTTGGAACAACCTTACTGTATTCTCGATCGTAGGAATCAGATACTGCGCACGAAGACTATTCCATTAGTACGTGTACAGTGGAGTCATCATAGTGCTACAGAGTCTACTTGGGAACGGGAAGATATTATCCGTGCCAAGTATCCAGAACTTTTTTAAGACAGGTATGTAGTGAATTTCGGGGACGAAATTCCTTTATTAGGGGGGGAGAATGTAATACCCCGTAATTTTAAAGAATGTATTTAAATAAATTTTGTGTTAGGTTAATTAATTTTATTTATTTGTGCATACTACATTATTTTATTAAATTCATTTAATTGTGCATGTAAATTAATTGTGTATGTTAAAATAGTAAATGTATTCATTTAATTGTGCATGTATTAGTTTAATTACTTTTATTTGTTGATTATGTTTAATTAAGCAATATTAGTTAATTAGAGTATTATATTTGTGTTATAAAGTATTATGATGATATAATATATTATTTTGTAATAACAATAATAATAATTATATTAGTTTAATAATAATAATAATAAGAATATAATAATAATAATAATAAAAGTTTATTAATAATAATATTAGTAATAATAATAATAATATTTATAATAATAATAATAGTATTAAACCAAAGTCATGATGAAATTAGAGATTAGGATAGGATTGCATCAATGGTTATGGTTGGAATTAAAGCCATATAGGTAGGAATATGAGAAATGGGTGAGAAGTTATTATAAATTAGATATTTGTAATATTTATATTATATATTTTGTCTATAAATTAACTAGCTTGCCTTAGAAAAAAAAAAAATAAAGGGAGTTAGAAGCAAAGTATAAATTCTAGAGAGCTATTTTATAAGAGTGAAAGGAAAAGAGAAAGAGAAAGAAGCTTGGACCGGTGTAGGCAATTTTACCTGACTACGCGCAGACCGGCGGATTTATTTTAAATCCAAAAAGGCAAGTTATTATCTACTTTTCCCCTTTGAATTAATAAATTAATTGTTTAGTTTAGTTTTATGCATAGAGCCAAGGTTTAGAGGTTAATAAATTATTAATTTTATTTTATTCAAATTAATGGAATTTTAATTATATAGGATGGTATATATTTATTTAATGTCCTATGAAATTAATAATGGCTAAAAATAATTAAATAAGACTTTAGGGATTTTTCTAGAATTTTCTAGATTTTTCCGGGCATTTTCTGCAATTTCCGGCGACCTTCCGGCGAGTTTTCCGGTCGCCGGCAGTGGGGGAGACGACCGGAGTGATCCGGTGCGACGCGGCGCACCATAGGAGGTGTACGCGCGCATCCTGGCCATTAGTGGAGTCTGATTGATCCGGTGCATCGCGGTCCATGATACCGCGGTACACCCGGATCTGTGGGCGTTGGATGGAGGGAAGATAGGGTGAGATGATCCGGTGTGACGCGAGTACGGAGTCCGGATGCAGCCAACCAACCAGGAAGTGACACGTCAGCAAGGCACCCTTAGTGCGCGCGTGGCAGCGCGTGCGCGCGCGTGGGAGCGCGTGGCTGATGCCAGACGCGCGTGGAGGCGCGTGGGAGAGTGGGGAAGGTTGGGCTGCGCGTGGGGAGGCTCTGGGAGGCGCGTGAGGGCGCGTGTGGGGTCCCTACAGCTGCTGGAAATTACCAGAATACCCCTAGGGCCTGTTTTGTAAATTCCAGAACCTTAAACTTGGATTTTTAGGTACTGTGTTGGTAATTACGGGTTTAACGGGCCACGAAATTATTATTTTAATACCCGTTACTTATTCTTATGGCCGATTAATCTTTTCTAAGCATTTATTGGCTCGTTCACAGTACAGATACTAATGTGATTTATTTAACGACATTGTTAAATATAAATAGTGTTATTATCGTATTTAATGGTATCAAACATTACTGTTAAATTAAATAAGGCCATGGTTTTAGTCAGATAAATTATCCATGATATCTTATAGGATGTTTATACTGTTAATTGATCTATAAACCATGATTATTATGCTGTGTGCATTTCAGGAAATAAATGGACTGTTTAATTATGTCGCATTTATATTATATGGATGTGTTGCCATATAGAACCATATGAGCTGGCTAATAAGTTTAGACTCATTTATACCTTATGCATTCGTTGCGATAGACAGATGTGTGGCTGTCGGGGTATGTGGTTTAATATTATTGGCATGTGTTGCCTAATTGACATACTCGGTATATTTCTTAATATTGTTGGCATGTGTTGCCTAATTTATATGCTCAGTATATTCATCAGTACTTTGCGAGGTGTTATCACTGTGTAGTTCGTTATAGTCTGTGTTGTCAGTACCGTGCACCATGTATAATAGCTGATTTCCCGGGTAGGGAAAGGCGACACTTAACCACCTAGTGTGAGTCTAAGTGATCACCGTCTATTCTGGTTGAGGTCATGTTATACATCGGATAGTTCCCATAGGATGTATACAGATATAGTACTCATCCGATTCATAATGATTAATTTATTGGATTCTCTGATTTGGGTCATAGTAGAGAGGACTTGCTCGTGGGGTTGACCCACCATTGTTGTTATTTCAGGATACGGTCAGTATCCGTTTCAAGGCTGAGGTTAGCAGTGTGGGACCATCATCCGAACTCATCTACTCCTACGATCCAGTGCAGGGTAGAAGTTTTATGTAGTATTTCAGTTTCAGTTTTTATTTACTTTTGACGTTGAACTCTCAGGGTTATATTTAGGGATCCCTGACGTAGGATTTCCAAGTTGTAATGAAGTACTGTATTAAATAAAGGATGGATGGATGTTGTATTATTTAATGTTTCTTTCCTGTCTAAATTCTTTTATTTCCATCATTTTGTATTCCATGCTTGTATATTGCCAATTGTTTTTGATATCCCTCGTTTTTCGTGTATAAGCCTGATCAACTTATGCGTGGAAAATGTGGGGGTGTCACACAAACTCATATATGTATATATATATATATATATATATATATATATATATATATATAAACACCTAAATTCTTTTTTCTTTTTTTTTCTCCCCTCACACTATATACCTACGCGCGTGTGTGTGTAAACACCTAAATTCTTTTTTTTGCTTTTTTCTCCCCTCACACTATATACCTACGTGTGTGCGCGTGCGCGCACGCTTATACATGGATTCATAATAGAGATATATTGATTAGCAATAAAATTATATTTAAGCCATGTATAATTAATAAAATAAAATTGAGTACAACCACGAGAGGGAGAAAATTCACCATGTAGAATGTGGTTTGAAAGAAGACAGAAAGTATGGTAAGCAAATTATTTTGTACGTGTACTTGTGTAAACAATGAATAAAGTTTTAGGAAACTTTTGCAACTATTAGGTGCTTGTATATTGGTTGTCTAAGTACTCCCTTTTCTTTTCATTGATCCTCTCGCAACCAGAGCAACAGAGCTGTCCTCAATGTAAATTTTCGGATGCAGTCAATGTCATCCCCTTCATACAAAAATATATGTATTTGCGGTCTCTTATCTAAAACAAACAAGACATTCAACACTAGGTTATCAAAAATGAATTCTACTACAAGATATATATTTTATCTAAGGGCGGATTCAAGGGTGGGCGAAGCTGGGCTTCAGCTCACCCCCAAATTTTTTTTTTTTTTATCATACTACTTTAAGCCCAACCCAAAAAAAAAAAAAACAGTAATGGTAGCCCAATCCAAAGTTAGCCCACCCTATTCAGAAAGACTAGATCCGCTCTTGATTTTATCATATGATATACACCATTCTAATTTATCAAAAATGAATTCTACTATAAGATATATACCATTTTAATTTATTTTATCATATGTTATATATATATATATATATATATATATATATATATTTGGGTAAGTCAATATATATATAACATTGATTTGTACGAGGATCAAAATGGTGAAAAGTTAAGGGTACCTTTGTCAAGCCATGCCTTTGCTTGAGCAACTAACTTCAAAAAAATTAATCAACTAAACAAAAATAAGGTCACTTGTCAGAAAGACCTTTCACTGCTAAATTCCAAGAATATAGCCCTAACTATCCCATTTTTTTACCATGCAGAATTTAGCACAACAGCTCATTCTGGTTAAATTCAAACACAAATGGCATTTTAATCAGAACTTTTCAACCCAAATAAAATGAAATGGAAGCACCATATAAGTGACATAAAATGCACACCAAAATAATAAAAATAAAAATAATAAAAAAAAAACCTCCACAAAGAAAGGTGTCAATTAGCTATATATTACTGAAAGAAACTTTGGCAGTGAAAAGGGAAATGAATGAGCCTGGATCTTAACCAACCTTAGCACCTCACAGCAAACCCCCATCCTATCCTTTATCCTTCTCACTTCACTCGCTTGTGCTCAGTGGGGATGATGTTTCTGATGCCACCAGCAGCAGCCAACCTCGATAACTTCTCTGGCACTTCAACTTCGTCCCTCAAACACCTCTTTTTCCTTCTATTCACGATTTCAAGTTCTTGTTCAAGTTGCTCCACTTGATGATTCAAGCACTTGACTTTTTCAATGCAATCCTCACACGTTGCCCGGCCAACAGTGCAATCTTGCCAAACAAATTCCTCATGCTTCGGAGTAAGGAATTTCTCAGGCTTCGGAATAAGAAATTTCTCAGGCTTAGGATTGAAACAGCCCTCCTCCGTGCATTCTTGCCAAGCAAATTTCTCTGGCACTTCAACTCCATCCCTCGAATACCTCTGTTCCCATTTCTTGAAGTTTTCCTTGTTTTGATGACTAAATTCCTCGAATAGCTTGACTTTTTCATTGTAAGCCTCAACTGTTTGGCTGCCAGCCGGGCCTTCTTGCCCAACAATTTCCTCCCATGTTTTCTTTTTGTTTTCCTTGTTTTGATGTTTAAGTTGCTCGGATCGCTTGACTTCCTCAAATGTTTGGCTGCCAACCGTGCATTTTGGCCGAACAAATCCACAACTCAAATACGCCTTTTGCCATTCCTTCACATCTTCCTTGAATTCCTCGAATAACCTCGAACGAGTCTTTTCCCATTCCTTCCTTTCTTCCTCGAATTGACGTCCGAATTCCTCGAATAGCTTGACTTTTTCATTGTAAGCCTCAACTGTTCGGCTGCCAGCGAAGCCTTCTTGCCGAACAATTTCCTCCCATGTTCTCTTTTTGTTTTCTATGTTTAAGTTGCTTGGATCGCTTGTCTTCCTCAAATGTTTGGCTGCCAACCGTGCATTCTTCCCAAACAAATTCCTCGAATAGCTTGACTTTTTCATTGTAAGCCTCAACTGTTTGGCTGCCAGCCGGGCCTTCTTGCCCAACAATTTCCTCCCATGTTTTCTTTTTGTTTTCCTTGTTTTGATGTTTAAGTTGCTCGGATCGCTTGACTTCCTCAAATGTTTGGCTGCCAACCGTGCATTTTGGCCGAACAAATCCATAACTCAAATACGCCTTTTGCCATTCCTTCACATCTTCCTTGAATTCCTCGAATAACCTCGGACGACTCTTTTCCCATTCCTTCATTTCTTCCTGAATTCCTCGAATAGCTTGACTTTTTCATTGTAAGCCTCAACTGTCCGGCTGCCAGCGAAGCCTTCTTGCCGAACAATTTCCTCCCATGTTCTCTCTTTTTGTTTTCCTTGTTTTGATGTTTAAGTTGCTCGGATCGCTTGTCTTCCTCAAATGTTTGGCTGCCAACCGTGCATTCTTCCCAAACAAATTCCTCGGACTTCGGTGTAACGAATTTCTCAGGCTTCGGAGTAAGGAATTTCTCAGGCTTAGGAATTGCACAGCCCTCCTCAACAAATTTCTCAGGGTTTGGAATTGCACAGCCCTCAATGCATTTCTCAGGCTTAGGAATTTCACATCCCTCTTCTGTCCATTCTTGCCAAACAAAGTTCTCCGACTTAGGAATAAGAAATTTCACAGGCTTTGGAATTGCACAGCCCTCAACGAATTTCTCAGGGTTTGGAATCTCACAGCCCTCCCCACACCACATGCTTATCTTTTCCTTCAGTTCTGTAACAAAAATTAATTCGAGAAAATTAAATAAATATCACATCCTAACACTTAACAAGTCAATTTCTTGACTTAAAATTAACAAAAAATAAATAAATAAATAAAATAAGAATTATAAAGACAGGAATCAAAAGTTTCATACACCAAAATAAGCCTTCTTTCTCAGTCTTTGCAAGTAGACTTGTGTATTACTTTGCACTCTGGTAGAGTCAACCAAAAAGATTAGCAACAATAAAAATACCTCTGACTATTTATTAATATTTTCACTCTCAAATTTGATTTCCAAAATCACACAATAGATATATTAAAAAATATATATATCAAATCACACATATATTCGATTCAAAGAAAAATTCCAAACGTCAATATCTTTCTTTCTTTGTTTAAGTGTTTGTATATGGATGTTGATGAGCAATTAAATATCAATTTGGGGAGGGATCTGGAAAATCTAATCCCATCCTACCCCGATCGGAAAGGGAAAATAAATATAATAAAAAAAACGTCAGACAAAGATCTGTAAAAGAGAGAAGAAACTGATCTGATTTTTCTAGATAGATTTGTATCTCTCTCTTCTTTCTCTCAAAAACACTGATCTTCAATTGCCGATACACAAACAAGAAGAAGAAGAAGAAGAAGAAGAGGAGAGGGCTTACCGAGTAGTTGTAGGAAAACCCAACAAAAATTCTGGAGCCATCAATTTGAAAGACACGCGTACTTAAATAGTTTTCAAAAAAATAAAAAAATAAATAAAAATAAAAAAATTGTTTAATAAATATAAAGCCATATATACCCTCAATATTCAACCTTATATTCAATACAACATCCTTCACTCTCTTCCTTCTCTTCCCTAAAATTTCTTTATTTTCTCAATCTAAAACTGGGACTGAAATTCAGTTTCTTCTCTAAAAATTTACCTATCGATCTTTTTCAAATTCTCTTTAGTTTTTCCCTATGATTAGGGACTTACATTTTATTCATTTTCTTTGCCTGAAAATTTACTCAACCTCTCTTTGGCTTTCTCTATGTGAAAAGATTATTCACAATAAAATTTTTGAGTGAAATTTAAGCTCTGCATAATGTTCAAATCGAAATAATAGATCATGAACTTAAACTGAGTAAAAGTGGATCAAATTAGGGTTTCGAAATTGGCCCTAGTAAAGTCATGGAGATGGAGCACGTCCATATATAAAAATATACCCCCACTAAAAATTTTTGTTATTTCATTTTAGACCCTTAAATTTATAGCTTTTTGCATTTATACCTATAAAATTTTAAAATTACCCCCCTTATATAAATTTGCCCCCATGGTGATAGCAATGACAAAAACAGGAAACCCAACCTTCTCTTTCCACTATATTCAACCAACATTTTTTGCCCTTGAATTTATCACGTGACGTAAGTAATAGAATGTTTTATACATTTAGGAATATAAGTCGGATCTTTAAAGACCCTTAAGTGGCAAAATCACATCGGATTCGTTGCCTATTTGAGATTACCTTTCGATGTCTCTATCATTTTCCTTTTTTAAATAGTCGTTTGACCGTGTTCAAACCTTAGCATAATTATTACCACATAATTTTATCTCGTTTGATAGGAAAAAAAAAAAAAAAAAAAAAAAAGTCCAAAAAAAAAATTTACTAAAAAAATTATATCTTTTGTCAAGAAAAAAAAATCTCTATTGAATAAATTATCACTTTTGATAAAATCCCAAAAAAAAATATTTTTAATGAATAAATTATTTCTTTTGACGTGACCCATAAAAATAAAAAGTTACCCATTTTGTCAGGGCTGAAAATAAAAAAAAAAATAAAAATAAAAAAGAAAGAAAAAATAGTAAAGGAAGTAAAAAAGGGCAAAAAAAAAAAAAAACTTTAAAGTTGTATAAATGGTAGTTGTGATATTATAAAATAAGAGAATGTGCATTTGTGAATTTAATGACTTTTTTGTCATTTCCTTTAAAAGAAAAAAATAAACAAAGTGCAATTAGAGAAAAGTGAAGTGCGAATAGTCAATATCGCCTCCCTAAAAATAGAATGATTTGTGTGTGAATTCTAATATGTTTTTCATAAATATTTCATTCTCATGAGTGTTCATTTTATATTTTGATTTTAAAAATTTTGACATTAATATTCATTGTTAAATTGATATATTTCTTTAATAAAATTCATTGTTTTATATATGTCTTTATATCTTAATAAGATATGTCTTTATAATAATATTATGTATAGAAAATATTCAAAGCAAAAAATTTAATATATACAACATTTAGATTTTAGTTTTTGTATTTAACAAAGAATCTTAATGAATTCAACACTTAAAATTAATATAGTGTCAAATAAGTTTTCATATTAATACATTTAACACTTAAAATTTCAGCGCTTAATATTTCGTATCTGAAATTTTCAGTATCAAACAGCATAGTTCACCAAACCCCTACCTAAATTTTAAAATCACAAAATACCCTCATTTTTTATTTTTTTTATATGGAACAACAAACACCCACAACTTACCAACTATAACAAATTACCCCCATTTGATTAATTGAGGACTAAATGGAGTTTAGATATGAATAAGTATTTAAATTCAATTTTTTAATTATATATTTAACAATAACTACATTAAATTTTAATTGGAAATAATTTTTCTTTTTATAATTATAAAAAAAAAAACCTCAGGTTTTCATTCCATGTGTTATACTCTCCATTAATTGGAGAACTGTGAGAACATTTTTTTATTTTATTTTTTTTGAGATATTTTTATATCTCTATTTCACCAGTAAAAGAAATAAATATATTAGAACTTTCTAACTCATGAGTGGCATCAAGTCCTAGAAAATGTATAATTCTCAACTCAAAAAGAGATAGAATACATTAGGGGATAAAAGAGAGAAATTTTTATTATAATTTTGTTTTGGAAAGGTCAGAAAAATTCTTAAAAGTGGGTTAAATGTACACATAACACCTATATATTATGAAATTATTAGCATACCCTTTGAATATTTTCAGAAGAGTAAAAGGGCAAAGTCGACATTACATAATTACTTAATGTCAGATTTTGAAGGATATTTTTGCACAATGTTAACAAAATAAGTGAGTTATTGACACATTTTTTCAAATATGGGGTGAAAATATTATGCAAAATATACATTATACATGTTTTTTGCACTTGACCATATGTGTGTGTACATACCGAATAATTTTCAACACAGATATAAGAAAAAGGGTGGCAAGATCCATATAATTTTGGCCCGGAACCAATCCGAGAATATTTAAGTTTTTTGCAAAACCAATGTTACTAAAACAAAGACATGTTACGTGTACAATCATTGTGTTAATTGATTAATTGGGAATTGAGTTATGGATGGGATGGTGTGATGAATTGCTGGTTTTTGACTATAAATTGCAAGAACAATGCATTTGCTGCTTGAGGTATTTTGCAACTTTTGAGAGGGGGGGGGGGGGGGGGGGGGGGGGGGGGGGGGTTTAGTGCACTAAGGCTTTAAAAAATAATAAGAAAATCAGTAAATACAGGATGTGATTTAAAAATTATTTTTTATTTATTAGCTTTTAGTTTTGTAATTAAAGAGAGGATGTATGTATTTGTGATTGAACTAATATGTAAACATTATTTCTTACAAAAATTCACAATCAATACTATTTTACTTCTATAAAATTACTAGTAGCCCGCCACAAAATAGGTATCTTTTTAGCTTGTGAAATTTATTGTACTATATGATCGTAAAACCAAAATTTAATAATATTATATTAATTCAACAAAATAAGTAAACACAAGATAAACCTATTATTTTATGGCACCCAATTAGTTTTTGTAATTAAAATTCATTTTTATCAATCTAACCGTTTGATCAAATGTCCCTCTCATATACTTTTATATATATTATGGCATCCAATTACTTTTTGTAATTATAATTCATTTTTATCAATCTAACCGTTTGATCAAATGTCACTCTCATATATATATGTAGTATTGATCTCTTACTCCCCATAAAGCAAGAAAATTCTTCCGCACTTTTTATATAAAGTAAAAAAATTCTTCTGCACTTTTTATAGTGACCATTAAATTAAATCTAATAATCACATTCTAAACACATCAATATGCTTTCCTTTTAATACGTCACTATTTTCAGTTTTCAAATTTAATATTTACCAATACAATTAATTATAGTGAGTACTACAAAAATAAAAATAGAAATCTATTCACCTCTCATCACCATTAATTGGAATTTTTTTTTTCTATAAAAAAAATTTATAAGTGTCAGAAAATTGTATCCATAACTTGATATTAAAGTTGACATTGTCTGTTTGGGTGTAAAAAAGAAATTAAAAATTACACTATTGACATACAAAACAATGAAATATCGACTAAAAAATAATAAAAAATTAAAAATAAAATCTTTATTTTTTTATCTACTTGATTAACTTAATGTAATCTGTGATTTGCACTACACTTCACTCATAAAAAAAATTAATAGATTACAATTTAAATTATTGTATACCTCCCTAAATGTATACTATTTAAAAATTAAAAATTCAATCTATTTTTCTCTAACTCTTTGTCACAAATTCTAACTAGTTATAAACACATTTTAATTACTCATTTGTCATAATAAACCTCCCTAAATGTATGCTATTTAAAAATTAGAAATTCAATCTATTTTTCTCTAACTCTTTGTCACAAATTATAACTAGTTGTAAACACCTTCTAATCATTCATTTGTCATAATAAATCACACAATATATTTTTTTCTAGTTCTACTATAATAACAAAAATTTATTGACGTATTATTCTGTGAAATTTCAGATTTCCTTTGTAAATTAGTTATTTTTTTTTTAATATTTTCTTTAATACTGCTATTATTATACTATCATTATTTTTATTTTTTTGGTACTTACCTTTTATTGTTATAATTAATTGTATTAATAAATATTAAATTTGGAAACTAGAAATAATGATAGTGGTTTTGCATTAAAAGAAAAGCATATATGTGGGTTTGGAATATGACCATTAGATTAGTGCGGAAGAATTTTCTTACTCTACAGAGAGCAAGAGACCACTACTCGTATACATATACACGCATTCTTCTTCCTTAGGGTAATATCGGTCCTCTTGATTTTAAATCGTGATAGGGATCTTAACTAAGATATCATAGACATTCTCCTTTGCTACTGAGTTACCAAAATCAGAACTAACGAAATGTATTTTCTCTTCTTTCCCATCGAGAAGCGATCTATCTGTACGGACAAGCTCTTATCTGAAAAGGGTTGGAGGAAAATTCTAATTGGGGTCAGTGGAAATTGGCCAACTTCATTCGCTCAGACTTTCCCTATCCCGACCTCTTTTGGAGAGTGTTCTGTCCCTTAATACAAGAAATTTAGGAATTATCCGATTAACTGCCACTGTGAAACTTGCCTTCTGCCATTGTTATAGCTCCTGACTTAGAGGCCCTTCGTTTGAGAAACAACATTCTTAACGATGTCTCCCTTAGGGTTTACCCCACGAATGTGGATGAGAGCTCTGGTAAAGGTCTTCTTCTAGGTGAGGTTCTCTTTTCTGCTCTTCACTTGAACGTAGTTAGATTCCCTTTACACCCGTTCTTTTGTTATGTGTTCAATAAATTAGGGATTTCCCTTCTTCATATTAACCCTAACTTCCTTAGGGTAATATCGGTCACCACGACTCTTCCTTCCCCTCAGGTAACCATTCTAAAGGGTGAAACATAAAGACTTTACACCAGGGGTTCTAAAGAAGAATGTGGGGATTTTATAAATCAAACTATAATATAATAATATATATAATATTAATAAAAAATGAGATTTTACCTTAAATGTAGTTGCGTGTGCTCATAACCTAAGTCACATAAAGCGGGAGTAAGCGCGAATTCGAGAGCAGGAGCGTGAGAGCGGCACAATTAAGTCATAAGCGATGAGAATTTGAGCACTCCAGCTTTCACGCTCCACGCGCGCTCTACAATAATAATAAATAAATAAATAAAACCCTTACCTACCGTAAAGGTATTCTTGGCCAAAAGTAAAACCCTAAGTTAGATGACTAAGTTTTTTACACCTTTAATATGGAATATAAATATGCTTTAATAGTCATTTAATTTTTCAATTGTGTGCCTCAGTTGTTTCAGGCTCGCCTTGTGCCTAGGCTCCAAAGGACTCTTAGCACCTTAGTGCACCCTGGACCTTTGATAACACTAATGCATACAATTATATGTTGTTCTTTTCCCCACTCTTTAGCATCAACACATGCACACTAAAGGTGACGAAGAACGGTATCTATATGTATAGAACTGTATGTTCTCACCATCCTAAATGAATAAACTGTTAAGGAAACGAAAGTTTTTAAAACTTTATGAGGGCTTTTCAAAATAAAGATCTTGATTCATATGTAGATACAAGTTTTATGCATGAAGAATATGATGATACATTCAATTAGAGATCGAAAACTTACATCAAGGTTTGAGTAAATCTTAAATCTCTCCTCTAAAATGAATGTTCTCACTTATTGTAGATCCCTTTGCTAGATGTCTTTTCCTTGGATCTCCATCTTCTTAGTAATGATCTTACCCTTAGAAATCACCTATAAGCCTCCATGAATGACTTTGAAAAATTAGGCTTGTGGATGCCTCCATTAGATGAGAACACTAACCCTAAAATTTTAGAGAGAGAGAATATTTTTCTTGTCCTCTAAAATTATTACATAAAGCGTCACCTAAAATATACATGGACTCCATGTATATATAGACAACATAAAAATAATAATTAAAGACATTATATTTTTCTTAATCTCTAAAAGGAAATGTGATATCTCAAATCTAATAGGATTCTAATATCAAGTTGGGTTATGAGTGAGTATCATTCTGGCTTATTATTTTATTGGCTACAATGAATTAATAATTGGCCCGGTCCATGGACCCAATTAAATTAATTATAAATTAATTTCTACTCCACTAAAAGAAATTAATTGAACTCCAATTAAATAATAAATAACCTCTAAGTCAATATTGCACTTTAGCCCCTCTATGCATAATTAGTTATAGGATAAATAAAGCTATCAATCCGACTACTTAATTAATATATTTATTTTAGTACCTTTGATTATTTCTAACTGGATCACAATAAAACATTTGTTTGACAAAAATAATAATTAAAATAAATAAATATATAGAAAATTATTTTGTCTAAAAACACACGATGGCCTTCGAATTTACTTTGTGATCAATCATAATCAATACAAAATAAATACAAGTAACAATGATACAAATATTGAAAATATAACTCTCTAACTATTAATTACATAATTACCCAAAGTGCCGGTCTATGGATTCGGAAGAATTCACCGAACAAATCAAAGTAATTACTAATTAATAAAAGAGTCTATACTTCTCTCATACTTAAGAGTCAAATGGCATGCCAATGATAGGGAGAAATTACATACGATAGCTCTCGCAATATATCTCAACCTAACGCGGATCCAGTTCAAGTCTTAGTTAGTAATAAATTCATCCATAATTACTGATTATGAATAATTTATGATTACTATTTATATTCATGTATTAATCGCTATCACATACATATATAAATATCTTTTGTAATCAAGTGGATACTATCAATTCCATAAATAATCGAAATATAATACATTGAATTCACCACTGGTATAAAACATAAATATTTAAGATATGTTAGGTAGACACTATCAATCCCATAAATAATAAAAATAGAATACATTGAATTCACCACTTGTATAAAACATAAATATTTAAGATATGTTAGGGATATATGTCACTTTAATCCAAATAGAAATTTACTATGCCAGCCATATAAATCCCAAGTGGCTTTATTCTATTGATATAAGGGCATTACAATCATGTTAAGTCTTAAGTGACTTATTTGTACTAAATCAAACTATATGGGGATTTTATATTACACATGAACTTTTTTTGCACTATACCGATAGTACATGAGTTTTTGTACATTTTACCCTATTGCAAATTGCCACAAAAGTTTCCCACAAAGGTTAAATAAATAAATAAATAAATATATATATATATATATATATATATATATATATATATATATGAGATTGTGATATTCTGAATTCTTAATTACAATTAACAAGGGTGATCTTACCGTTCGAATATATATATATATAAAATTAACAAGGGTGATCCTACCGTTCGAATACATCCTACCGTTCGAATATATATATTCGAACGGTAGGATCACCCTTGTTAATTGTAATTAAGGAATTCCGAATATCACAATCCCTCTTTAACATTTTTATCCTTATTTCTCTCTCTATTTTTTTTTTTTTTTTTTGTCCTTTTCACTCTCTATATATAAATATGTATCCCCGTATACATATTTGTGTTATAAAAATTAGTAACACATCACTGTAATGATTGGAGTGGTGCATATAACTTGAAACATTTAGAAAAACAATTTCCATCTCTAAAAAATGCAAGATTATCGTCCTTATCACTCTCAATTTATTTATTTATTTATTTTTTTGTCCTTATCTCTTTCTATTTGATGTTGAAAGATTGAAAGGTTAGGAATTTTAATAAGGGATCAAATGATTCTAACCTTTCAACATCAAATCCGCCGTAAGCTTGGGGCATCTATGCACAAGAAGAGTGTGGCGATCGAATTCTCAGATTGAGCAAAGCACGACCTTCCACGTGGACATCAATTAAATTTGCATACCGAAAATGACGTCAGAAATAGAAAAATGACAACCCAAAAACCTCGAAGTTCCCGCCGCCCAAAGATCTCGAACTGAATAAAGTGCGTCTCAGCTTCGTTGACTCCGTCGTAAATGGTCCCCACCTAATAAACCCAATTTTAATACAATCACGGGGAACTGCTATTATTAAAATAATTTATATAATTGAAGAAGTAAATTAATGGGTCTTAATTAGCTATTGATTCGATCAAAAGTCATTTAATTTAATTAGATATTGATTAGATCACAGTCCATTTAATTTGGATACTGTTTAAATTTTCTTTGTCACAACACAAGATCTGTGCTGGCATAGTGTGACTGTACAAAAAATATATATATTTAGTAATTTAAATTGGATAAATTTGAAAGAGGAAAATGTATATTTTCATTTTACTAATTTAAATTTGGATAAATTTGCAAAAAGAAAAATGTCTATCCACATGTTTTTGGTAAGTTTAATTTGGATACTTACACAACATATAATAACACCTCCATCATATTAAAAAACAAATAGTAGTTTGAAAACAAATATATACTTTAAATATTTTACACTGATAAATTTATTTGGCATTGGATAAGTTTCACGAGTTATATGGGAATTTATTATTAATTATATATATATATTTTTGTATTCACGTGATGAAAGTCAAATGATGGTTAATATTGGCATGGAAAATTTAATACTAGGTGGTTGAGCGACAATGAAAAGTGTGAATGTAGACCAAATTAAAAAGATCAGCCAAAGAAAATCAACCTTTTTATAGATATAAAATACCTTCCAAAAGAAAAAATATATGGATAAAATATGAACCGGATAAATCCGGTATAAATTACCTAAGAAAGTGTACTATGCCTTCCTAGTTTTCTTCGCATCAAAACTTTCGTAGTATCACTCTCTGTGTACCCATATTCATACTAGGTACTCTGTTTTGCGAGAGAAAAAAATTGAAAAAAACGAGAATGTCAGGAGAGGAAGTGTTTGTTGGGTCAATCGATCAAGGAACCACAAGCACGAGATTCATCATCTACGACAAGAAAGCTAGCCCAATTGGATCTCACCAGGTTGAATTCACTCAGTTCTACCCACAAGCAGGGTAATTATACGCCTACTCTTCTCTCTATCTCTATATATATAATATATATGTATATATTTATATGTATGTATGTATATTGATGAAGCTTGGTGTTTTCTGTTTGTAGATGGGTAGAGCACGATCCGATGGAGATTTTGGAGAGCGTGAGGGTTTGTCTGACCAAGGCTGTTGACAAGGCAACTGCAGATGGCCACAACGTTGACAGTGGATTGAAGGCGATTGGTGTCACCAATCAGAGAGAGACCACTGTCATTTGGAGCAAATCTACAGGCCGTCCTCTCTACAACGCCATTGTTTGGATGGATGTTCGTACCAGTTCTGTTTGCAGGTATTTTTCTCTTCTTTTTTTTTTTTTATAAAAAAAAAAAAAAAAAAGATTATATTTCTTGGATTTTCTAATCTTAAATTGGGTCTTCCTTATTTCGGGGATTTCTGTTGTCTAATTTTAGATTGGGTTTGTCTAATTTTAGATCATCCAATTGTGGAACTTTTCAATAGATTAAGCTGGGGAAATCTAATCAAAACTACATTTTCATTATTTTTTTTGTCCTTGGATGATCTAATTCTAAATTTTGCTCTCTTTATTTTGCGATTTTACTTCATACACAGTCCTGAATTGGCTAATTCTGAACTTTTTAATGGTAAAAAAAAAATTTATGGAACTATTTTTAATTCCTTATAAGTAATTAATCAAAAACTATTCCGTTAGACAATTAGTATTAGTGTAAGTATCACTACTCAAAATTTAATTAGAGGGGAAAATATTTAATATCTTTATTAATACTCCTGTTTGGGATACTATATCTTTATTAATACTCCTGTTTGGGATACTATACTTAGGTCCTCATAGTACATCGTGATGATGTACACCAATGAGGACGAGGACCTAAATATTGGACTATTCCCATTATCCCAAGTTGTTCCATATAAAACACCTTATATGGAGTGAAAATTAAATGGTCAAATTTAAAAAGTTTAAGATACATATTCAACTATAGTAGTCTAGTGGTTTGGTTGCTCCTTATTCCTTATTTGGGGAAATCTAATCAAAACTGCATTTTCATTATTTTTTGTCATTGTTGCATGTAAAACACCTTATATGGAGTGAAAATTAAATTGTCAAATTTAAAAAGTTTAAGATACATATTCAACTGTGAACATTTGGTTGCTCCTCATTCCTTATTTGGGGAAATCTAATCAAAACTGCATTTTCATTATTTTTTGTCCTTGGATGATCTAATTCTAAACTGTGCTCTCTTTTTTTGGCTAATTCTGGACTTTTTAATGGTAACAAAAAATAAATAAATATCCCAAACTTTTTAGTATCGGTAAACTAAGAATATTATAAAAATAATACATTGGATTTTAATTGGGACACTATATTTTGTAATAGGCAAAAACAGAAAGGTGGACATATTTTTGTGGGATGGATGGATTTTTAGAATTATTATTTTTTTAATTTTTTTTTTTTTTGGGGTCTAATTGTTAAATGCGAATTCTTCAGAAGGCCTGCTTAACTTTTGATGCAATGCTCTATTTTATTTTAGGAAATTAGAGAAAGAATTATCGGGCGGACGAACCCATTTTGTTGAGACCTGTGGTTTGCCCATAAGCACTTATTTCAGTGCAATGAAGCTGCTATGGATGTTGGAAAATGTGGATGCTGTTAAAGAAGCTGTGAAAAAAGGGGATGCTCTGTTTGGAACCATAGACACCTGGTTGATTTGGAATTTAACTGGAGGCAAGGATGGCGGTTTACATGTCACTGATGTCTCAAATGCATCACGAACAATGCTGATGAATCTCAAATCACTTGATTGGGATACACCTACATTGGAAACACTAAAAGTTCCTGCTGAAATTCTCCCCAAAATTGTTAGCAACTCTGAGATTATTGGGAAGATAGCCAAGGGATGGCCAATTCCTGGAATTCCAATTGCTGGATGTCTTGGTGATCAGCATGCGGCAATGTTAGGGCAAGCTTGCAAGAAAGGCGAGGCCAAAAGCACTTACGGAACTGGGGCCTTTATACTACTCAACACTGGTACAGAGATAATCAAGTCTACTCATGGTCTATTAAGCACGTTAGCATTTAAGCTTGGTCCCAAAGCTTCGGCTAACTATGCTCTAGAGGGCTCAATTGCTATTGCTGGAGCTGCTGTGCAGTGGCTGAGAGACAGTCTTGGGTTAATTGCTTCTGCAAGTGAGATTGAGAAGTTGGCATCACTGGTTGACTCGACTGGCGGGGTTTATTTTGTGCCAGCATTCAATGGACTGTTTGCTCCATGGTGGCGAGATGATGCCCGTGGAGTTTGTATTGGAATTACAAGGTTTACCAACAAATCTCACATTGCTCGGGCAGTGCTAGAGAGTATGGCGTTTCAGGTGAAAGATGTGTTGGATTCAATGCACAAGGATGCAGGGGAGAAAGGTGAGGTTAAAAATGAGAAGGGCGAGTTCTTGCTTAGGGTGGATGGTGGTGCTGCTATTAACGACCTTCTGATGCAAATTCAGGTCCATCATTCTCTAATTCCTTATATTTTCTCTAATTTCTTTTATTTTCATAATTATTATGTATATGACTAATGTTCATTCATATAACTACCACAACCAATTTGTTGTGTTCATCCTTAACATCCTAAATTAATCGGTCTTGTTACTATTTGCAGTAATATGACTAGTGTTCATTCTAATGTTCTAATGTCGACCACATATGTATATAATCTGTCTTGTTACTATTTGCAGGCGGACTTGTTGGGTAATCCGGTGGTTAGACCAGCTGACATAGAGACAACAGCTCTTGGAGCAGCCTATGCTGCTGGATTGGCGGTTGGGATTTGGAATGAAGAGGAGGTTTTTGCGTCCGAGGAAAAGATGAAGAAAGCTACTCTTTTCCATCCAAAACTAGATGCGGCAATCAGGAAGAAGAAGTGTGATTCTTGGTGCAAAGCTGTTGAAAGAACTTTTGACTTGGCTGATCTATCCCTTTAACTGTTTTAGGCCATGTTCTGTGCTCATCCTTCTAGTTTATTCTCTTTCTTTTTTTCTTTTTCTTTTTTTTTTTTTATATTTTATTTTTCTTGTCATATGCTAATAATATGTATTGTGAATGAAGGACATGCTCAAATGATTATATTGGCAATGGTTTATATCATAATAAATGGCAGTTTCTAGTTCTTGCGACCACAGCTATCGTTCTTCTATTTCACTCCTCACAACTGTTGTATAAAAAATGGTCTATTGATTGGAATGCTCATCAATTTTACTGTAGAGAACTTGGCATACTCTGAATTTGGTATGGTGTTTTCTGGTAGAAGATCATAGATGTGACACGTTTTGAGTTTTAAGTCTCTGGTTGCAGCTCTTCTTTGCAAATCGAGTCGTGCTTCTGCGAATAACCCTTATCTACTTCGTCTGTCATTTCATCTCCTCTCTGTTCTAGATAAATCCTTCAGCAATTCACATTAATTTGATCAATTTCTAGGTTGAGGATTTGAATCTCTAGCATAACTCATGATTTCAAATATAAGGCATATCATTTTAACTCAAACCTAGGTTCCTGAAATATGGTCAATTGTGGCTTTCTCACAATTGCCAAGAGAATATACTTCCAACTTTTGCCCATCAGTAGTATGTGTGTTTAAAAACTTGAGTGTCTGATCTGCACAAGCTTGATGTCTGATCTTCTCAATTAAAATTTAAAACCCAAGAGGCTTCAAAATATTTTGGTGAAAGGCTAGGCCTATGCAAAAATGAATGGGTGTGCCTGGCTACTAATGGCCGTGTGGGCAAGGGGCACCCCAAAAATTCCGTTAATGCAAGGCCAAATCTAAACAGAAAAATAAAGCTCAGCATAATATATTACTCCAATACACTATATATGTTCATATATATATATATGTATTAAGATATGTTTTGCTAATAAAAAATAAGTTCACGGGCATTTAACACCCTTGTAGTATATAGCTCTTGTATCCCCCAATATACGAGTATTTAACACCCTTGTAGTATGCTTATAGGTCATGCAACCCCCAATATGTTTTGAAAACTCCCTAACATTTATTTTAGGAGCGAACAAGGATCTCCTCTCGGTAGTTAATGGAGTAATAAAAAAATTAAAATGCCTATTTAATACACTTAGTTAGTCATGTGGTTAATGGAGTAATAAAAACACTAAAATGCCTATTTAATACACTTAGTTAGTCATGTGGTTTGTTAACTGCACTTTTCTAATTGTTGACTGCCTAGAAGAGTCCTAATTTGGAACATTTTTAAATTTTCAAGGTTGTTATATACCCAAAATAAAAAAGATGAATGTCATTTGCTCAAAAAGTAAACCTTAGGAATGTTTTATATACGTAATCCTAAAAAATACTTTAGAATTAGTAACTTTTAAATTTGGATAAATTCCACTTATCTCCTTAAGGTTTGTAGTATCCCACATAAACCTCTTATACGTTTTATAATCTCACTTACCTTAGGGATGACCATTCAACTAAGTAACTGTAATAGTATTATTTTTTCCACATATCATACAAGGAAGAAGGAAGAATGCAGGACATTTAAATTCAATATTTGTCAATGTTTGTTAAAGAGTATGAATTTTCTATTTTATCCCAAAATGCAAGGACGAATGCAGATAGTTGCTTAGTTAAAATTATTATGTCAAATTAAAGAAAGGAATCTCCAAGAGGGTTTTTATTTATTTATTTATTATTTTTTCTTTATGGTTGATTAGGTATAATTGACTCGAACCTCTAAACCACATGAAAGTCTCTAACAAATCAAACCAGTAAATTAGACCCAAAGTTTCATGGTTTCTTGATACAGAGATTAGCTGTCAAATATTTCATATCTGAACTTCATTAATTGTTCACATTTGCATAGTAACACACCTTATGGTTAGTGTATACTGTTATTAACAATATCTTGATTAGGTGTTTAAATATTTTTGCTGCATTTAAAAACTTCCTAAATGTACTTCTAAAGCTCACAATACAATGGCACAAAAGTCTTGTGATTCTGACATTGAAAGCCGGCCTTCTTGGCTTGGAATTGCAATTAACTGTATGGCTTCTGTTTTTGAATAATAATATTAGTATTATTGATTTGTGGTGAAAAAAGTAATTAAAAAAAAAAAAGAAATTCTATGGAGATTTTTCATCTTCTTCTCAATTTGATTTTAACTCGTGTCCTAGTAAAATTTTCTTGTAGTCCAGGAAGGATGTTTGTGAAGAATAATATTGTCCTGTGAAGAATAATATTGTCCCAGAGCATCCTCAATAATAGGTGTTTGTAAGGACTTTTTTTTCATACAGTGTTCCATACAATTCAAAAGTTAAGAATACAATTGAGAATTTGTTAGGTCCTCAAATTTATTTATTTTTCAATTAGAAAAAGAGTATTGTATTTGCAATTTTTGTTAATTTAGAAATATCTAAAAAGTAGGGCACATCTAATACTTATAAATAAATGGAAGAAATAAATAATTAAGTGGAGTGCATTATTCTTTATTTTCTTAGTTCAAAATACTTATTTTTGATACACAACTAAACATATTTATGAGTTTTTGTTTTCTCAAAACTATTTTGTAGTTTTCCTAACGAAGTGGATTTTCAAATTACAAATATTAAATTATTTTTTGTTTTGATTTTTTGAAAACTATTTTTAAAAATTATTTTGAGAGTTACAAACTAAGCAAGACCCGATTTTTAAATAATTTTTTCATTTTTAATTCTTTGAAAACGAAAATTTGTTCTTAGAAAATTGAACGAAACAAGTTTGTAAATCGTATTTTCTTAAGTACATATTTTCATTTTCTGCTTCATACCTATCTCTCACTACTCACTACTCTCACTATTATGCTTTGTACTTCTCTCTCACATTCTCTTCTATGTTCTCTGCTTATCTGACATAGTCTCTGACACTGAAATTGATAAGCCAACACTATCAAACATTGTGATGGTGCCATTGCCGGTCCACTTAGTATCCGAAATGTGTTCGAGGAGGGGAGAGATTTTTGGGGATGGATTTGAAGGGGTTTGTGTTGAGAGGAGATTGAGAGGTGTGGGATATAGTGCGGGTACGTCTTTAGTTTGTGGGTGTGATTTTGTCCGAATCATTTTGTTACGCATGAGTTCGGGTCATATTTAGAGTTCTGTGTTTTTGTTTGTGTTCGCGCGGTTTTTGTTCCCTACGCCGGTCGATGGACTCTTCGCGGGCGTGCCAGAGTATTTGTACAAAATACCCAAAATATGTAATTGAACACCAGCCTATCCCTTTTTCCGATGGCTGACTCTCAGGCGATTGTGTGGGAGAGAGACTAGTAAGAACTCCCAGCAAGGTTCTTTTATGCCTTGTTTGTAGCAAGGACTTTTTAGAGTGTCTAAAGAAATGCAACGGCTGATGAATGTTTGAATGGATGGAATGGCCGAGTGAAGACAGGCGGCAAGAACTTAATCGATCGCCGGCCGAACGTGATGGCGAGAACTTAATCAATCGCCATCAGCCAAACACAATGGCAAGAATTTAATCGATCGCCACTGAAACGTGATAGCAAGAATTTAATTAATTGCCATCAGCCAAGTAATGACAAGAATTTAATCAATTGTCACTACGATTCAATGGCAAGAATTTAATCAATTGCCATTGAATTGAAAGCCTAACTAAAATTGCGTAATTAAAATTGGCATAATTGAAATTGAAAGAAAGTAAATGGCTGAATCGAAATAGTTGACGAGGATCTAATCAATTGCCATTAAATTGAAATAAAGAAATTGATAGGAAAATGACGTAGAGTCAATTGAAAACATTTTTAGTTGAAATGCATGTTTTGTAGTGGTGCTGGACGAATTGGAAATGGAATACAATACTTCTATTTATAGAAGTTCTATCTCAACTTATTTTCCTAATTACTTGCTATAAAATCTCTTTGCTCCTTGATTTTCTTCACTTTATTACTCAAACTAAACCACGTTCCAGTAGTCTTTTGTGTTTCTTCTCTTCTTGCTTCAATAGGAAAGTCCTTGCTGAAATCTCTCCTTGATCCAGTCAAATGCAAGTTGCCGAGAAATATGCTGAAAAGTTGCTGGATAGTTGCTAACTTTTAGCAACTCCTTTCCTTAAGTTAGGCTGAAACCTTCCCTTAAATGGCTGGAAGACCATTCATAACTTTTGCCCAAATTATCCCTCACGTGACGGCCTCTCTTTTGAATTCCTTATTCCTTTGCAACGAAATTCCTATTTCATAGGAATCTCATTCCAACTAAATCTCTTCTATCCAAACTGAAATAATATATTTGAATTAACTCAAATATTAATTACCAAATTTCAGCAACAACCTTATTGGATAAGGTGGCTAAATAACAAGATTTTCTCCTCTTGTTTCTCAATTGGCCGACTTTTCTTGAAACCATACTAAACAAGTGTCGGCCTATCGCTGGTCCACGTCACCACTGAGGTGGCTGCCAAGTTTTGGTGCCAACAAATGCCCCCTGAATTTCAAATGCTTTTATCACTTATGATATGAAGCGTTTGGAATTTGAATCGGCCTAAAATTGTAATTCAAATTTTGGTAATAAATTCTTTTTCCAACTACTTGCTTTAATGGTTATCTTTCCCAATTAAAGCAGTGACTACACTAATCCGCTATTACATCCAGCAAGTATTTAGCTTGATGCCCTCTAATCCCTAAAATCATTCTTCTTCCATTAAACTTTCTATCTCTGAAATTCTGTCTCGGCAAAATCGTTCCTGACGTCTTCTATGGCTCCTAAGAAAACTAAATCAACTGATTCCACCTCTATCCCTCAACCTTCCGATCCTTCAACTCATGGCAACATCATAGAAAAATCCCTAAAAACTCTATCTCCTTACAAATACTGTCTCAATACCCTTATCGATCTTCGTACTGACTTCAAAGGCTTAGGTCCTGCTTTCCTTGATGAAGCTCCTTCATCAATCTCACCTTTCTATCCTTCGGCCGACATTCTTCCATTCCTTCAAACCTTCCCTCCTAATAAAAATGACAGTTTGCCACACTTTCATTTTAGAACATGGCATAGTCCAAATGATGCTTGGATCAATTGGGTCGACCGGGTTGGAGCTGTGAAGGGAGAAGTATGGAAGGATTGTGGCATATATGATGCCATTCAGCTAAGTAAAACTAACATCGCCCAAGACAGAGC